TGTTCATGGTGACTTGAAAATAGCAATACGTCGAAAAGGAGATCACAGCGAAGCTAAAGAAGCATCATTCTGGTCCAACGGGGTTTGGAGCACATCTACAATCAAAAGAAAGGCTTTAGAGGCGTCCGACGTCACTTGGTGGTCAAGCGAAAACCTGTGCTCAGGACCAAAACTCACGAAGCCATGAGAGATCTTTGAACACACAACTCAGGAAGACTCCAGGAGCACATCCGGAAGACCACAACGTCACCATAGAAGAGCTTCAGCCCCGACGGCAGAATGAAATCTTCTCGTTGATGATTACGGGGAGCTGCAACTTCCGGACATTTTCAATGCGGCTTGAAATAGCGGCAAATGACGGTAAGATTCCGAAAAGCTGGCTACAGGCGAAGGTGGTAAGTGTCTGCAAGGGCAAGAGCGATCCGGCCTCTTATCGCGCAATCTCTCTCCTCAACGGTTTTTTCAAACTTATGCGTCGCTGATACAGGCCCGGCTCTCCACCTTCTGGGAAGACACAATACGGCTTTCGACAACAGCGCGGTACAAAACATCAATTTTTTTAGTTACGTCGCTTCATGGAATGGAATCGTGTGACACACCACAACTCGCAACTTCTATTCAATTCCTTAGAAGGTGATGCCAAAATACGCCACGCTGATGGAAATTTCGCATGGGGCCGGATAGGACGTTATCCTGCTTTTCTAGACATGTCATTTTTTCAAAAAACAATGTTTCTTGGACAGGCTGGTTGTCGAGTTTTGCTCATGTCTGGAAACCAATGTTTAGTTATTTTTGATGTGTCGTGACTGGTTTTGATCAGACACCGCAAAAAGTTAGGCCACACCATATTCATATTGTTTTGGTTGCTTATAACTTGCTGCATCGCATCGGCCCAATGCTGATTGGGGATCTCCGCACCGGGACGGCAATGTGTTGTCAGCTTTCTAGTGGAGTGGCTGCGTTTGAGATATAGGAGTGGAATCTAGTGCCGCCTGACCATGGTGAGTGGTTGCTTTGATTACCAGCTGGACTGATCAGATGGACCAAATGCCCCACATCAAGACATGATTTGCCATTGGATCAAAAGCGTCCTTTGCGAAACGTCATTTGCAAAACGGAAACCAGGTTTTGAAATTTTGGGGTCATTGGAGTTCAACAGTTTCGAATGTTTACTTGAAGGATGGATGGCTTCATGCCAGCTTTGCGGGCAATGTGCAGTGCAGGATTGCGACTGCTATGAAGGTGTTTGTTTTTTTGAACAGTTCGTGCCGTACACGCTGGACAGATCCGCAGTTCGGGCAAAACTACAGCGCCGTGAGCAAAAAACAAAAGATGTTGAGTGACGGAGACAGCATGGACTGGCAAAGACATGTAAACTACACCATAGCAATATGTGATTCCGACATGCACATGCAGTCGAACGGTGGTAAAGTCGCAAAGCGGCTGTATGCATTTACTTAAACCCTCCTGGAAGCTTAGCAGCAGAGTCAAGGCACACAACAGTAAGGCCAAAACCAACATGAACGATCGACAGATAAGAAGGTGAACACACTTTCTAAATGAAAAACACGCGAAATCGCGATAGAAGAGAAACAGCGAAGTGAAACAAAATTCATTTTTGGAAGGTTTGGGCCATCTAAGGAGGTCACTTGAGCTGTTTTAAAATTTTGATCATGAATGCGTGTTGATGGGCCGTTTGTTAATTATCCAGCAAGCACAATTGCTGATTGCTGCACTCAGTCTGTGTCGCGTTAGAATGACTGCAATTGGGAATTCGCGCCATTTTCTTGGCTTGAAATGTGTGATTTTTCAAGCGCGGAATGGCAACACATTCTGATTTTGCAAACTTTGCTCTCACGGGGCTCTGTGCTACACAACATGTTTGCCTCGCCATGTGCGAGGCACAGCGAACCATCCATTGTGTGTTGTTGGTGGCATAATAAGACTTCAAGCATTACTGTGTCGTTTGCAACATGCCGATGCCCCGCAAGCATGCAGATTGTGTATCTGTGCTCGAGATAGCAGGAGCAAGGATTCACTTCTGGCGTATACCTGCACGAATTCTAAAAAAGCGACTGAAACGTTGCAAAACAACATGTCATTCGCGCACGGGAGATAGTTTGAGGCGTTGTTTTCTTAATGGCCGGTCTGTGGCATGGTCCCGACCTGCGCAGCTTCCCGGACACGCGATGCAGGCTGGGCGCACCCAAGCATGGACATGTTGGAGCCTGCTGCTCATATTGCTGCAAATTGAATCAGCAAGATGTGCAAGTCAAACATGATGCGAGACGTGCAGTTGATGGCCGTTTAAGGTTGCACGCCAGCACTGCTCATGCACTTGTAACCAAAGATGTAACATGAAGCGACATGCATTGCCGCTTGCACAGGTTCATCAGGTAGAGCGTTGCTCGTGCAAGCCGATGCTTCAGGCACATGAAGAGGGCAGGCGGAGCTTACCTTGAAGCGTCCCCCGAGAAACGTCAGCGACATCGCTGCCGTGGCAGTGGCAGTGGTTGGCGGGATGCGTGGGATTGGTGCTTCGCAGCGATCCTTCAGGCCTCGAGTCTGCAAGGGAGCGCCAGGCGCGGGCTGGCCTACGTCTGGTTGCATTTCTTCTACGAGCCTCTCATCTATCGACGGCGAGTCCAAGCCGCACACGAGTTCTTGGCGGGTCGGAGCCGCAGCCGGCTAATCAGTGATGTCGAAGACGCCATTAACTCGGCTGAAGCGAAGCCATTCCGTGCCGTGTTGCGGGATGATTTCTGGCATCAGCAAGATGCACAAGTCGAGACCCGTGACACGCTTATGCAAAGGCGCCTGTTGCTCCGAGCCGAGTTGGAACTACAGCTGCAAAGACAGCAGTGGAAAGAAAGTTCCAGTGGGAGAGGTTTTGCGGCAGTTTCTTGCAGCTTTCGGCTGCGAGTTGATCCCAAGCAGCGTCACTATTTCGGAAAACTTCCTCTCGAGGTAAAGCGTGGCTCGGCTTTTGACTCTGCTGTGGAGGCAATTCTGGCTGCAAAACCATCGCACTTGCTCTCAGGTGTCCATGTACGGTTTCACGAGAGCGGTGGCTTCGCAGAAGCAGGTGTGGACAGTGGTGGCTTGACCCGAGAGTTTTTTGAGCTGGCGATCAGAGAACTTTCAGACGCGTCCCAGCCTTCTAGGCCCACCCGGCAACAAAGGCAACAACCGATGTTTCGCCGAAGTGTTTCGGTGGAAGGCATTGGTGAGCCCATGTTCTGTCAGCAAGCCGACGGCTCCTTGATGCTAGCCCCCTCTTCCCGGCCTCCGGCCGTTTATTTTGCCCTTGGCCGACTTGTGGGAGTTGCCCTGGTGCATGCGAGCTATGGGGACTCAGCCCTGCCTCTTCCTCTCTCGGACACCTTGCTCAAGTGCATGGTCGGCACCCCCATAACAGCGGCTGATGTTCGAAAGCGGGATCCTATTTACTACAAGAACCGCATCGAGGCAGTCCTCTCGGTGCAGGGACGCCACATGGTAATCGCAGCATTGATGGAAGAAAAGCTTCTTTTTGTGGAGGGTGGCAGAGAGTTGAAGCCAGGAGGTGCTGCTGAGGAGGTTACCGATGCAAACGTGATGGAATATGTCGCATTGCTCAGTGAAGATTACGTTTGTGGTGATGTGAGAACTGAAATTTCTGAGTTCCTTGCAGGATTTCACAATATTGTGCCCCGCAAGCTGCTACAGCAGGCGGTCAGGGGAATTGCCTGTCGCGGAACCGAATGGGACTAGGACGACACTTGATAACGACATGTAGAATCTATTTAGAATTGACAACTGGGTTTTATTATTTCGGTTCATCCTGCGGCCCTTCGTCCTGTGTCAGGTGGGCTTGTCCTGGGTTCAGCTGGGCAACTTGCTTTCGGGAGTCGACCATGTCGACATCGAAGCTTGGCGGCGCTATTCCCAGGTGCGTGCTGCTGGCGTCGCTGAAGAGGAAGCACTGGGAGTTGCGAACATCTTCTGGGACACGTTGGAGCATTGGCCTGCAGTAGAGCGGAGTGCTGTGCTGGCCTTCGCAAGCGGCTGTTCACGCCTGCCGGCCTGCGGCTTCGCGCTTCTCGATCCACCGTTTACTGTGGAAGTGACACCTCGCTCGGGCAAGCTGCCAACTTCACATACTTGTTTCAACACGATCACTCTGCCTGCATATGCCCAGGAAGTGCTCGAGAAGAAGCTAGCTTTCGCGATCCATGAGTGTGCTACCGGGTTTGCCTTGATCTGACTCTTTGAGTCCCGGTGGGTATTTTCCTTCTTGGTAGAAGTACCTTGCCTGAAACAGCACATCTGCAAACGCAAAGCTTCACGTCTGGAGCTAGTTTCGCTTTGCCTGCAAGCATGTGAGGGCCAAGAATGTACGACAAAAACCTGCAAACTGCTGGTTCGGGAAGGGTTGATTTCAAGTCCAGGTTTATCCTTCAGCAGCAGATTCAAAAGAATCGTGTGCGGCGCCTTTCCATGTAACATGATGGTTTCGCATGTGGCTGCATTTTTGACTCGGTTGCCAGAGTCCTCAGCAAGAACTTAGAACTTCGCTTGACGTACACGTGACCATCTGCCCTGAAAGGGCAGGTTTGTCGGAAAGCGCCGGGTGACAGAACAGCGGAGCTGCCAAGCCCTGGGCCAGCATCCGTGCGTCCTGTTTTTGTCAGTTCTGAGCCTGTTGACAAACTGCAACATTGGCTTGATGTCGGCTTTTGGGAGGTGTAGCTCAAGTGCTACAAGAGAGCTGTAGTATTGGGCGTGAAGTGGGGATTGGTTTCCAGCGACACCTCCAGAGACGGGAGCTGCTAAACAGCGTCCTCGAGACATACCTCATTACCAGACTGCGGCGGACAGGTTCTTCTTGCAGCTGCCGTGTGCCTGGTTGAGTACAAATTTTGATTTTGGCCCTTACCGAAACAGTGCATCTGCGCATGATCCGGGCAATCAGCTGCTCATCCATTGGTGTTGACGGTCTGCTTACGGGCAACAGTTGCATGTGCATTGTGCTCTGTTCGCAGGATCCAACCCAAGGGCCTGCGACAAGTACCGTTTGGGGACTCACTGGAGAGAAGCTCCAGGCCAGGCTCAAACCCTCGCGGTTTTTCGGTTTGAAGTATTTTGAAAACCGGCGTGCTGAAAGTTTGTCCCGAGAGGCCTTCAGGCAGTGGACCTGCTGCTTCTGTGTCTGCGTTTTCGACCTGGAGCAAGGAGCTACGTGAGCTCATGTAAAGTCTTTTCAGCAGTGCTCACGAACTTTGCTGGGACGCATGAGAGGACAACGGCTCGAACTGGTCCTTTCCTCAGATGCAGCTGCGTCCGGAAGTTCAAAACGGAGTTAAGCAGTTCAAAAATCCCTGCGTTCACCGAGGAAACTCCTGGCGACAGCCCCCTCTCTGAAGAGGATCGTCAACTGTTACGGTGGGATGCTCATAGCAGTGCAGCACATGTCCAAAGCTGTTGTTTGCATCCCGTGCTTGCGTGCTGAAATCCTTGCCATCCTGCAGCAGAAGCTTCTAGTTGAATCAGGTACCTCGCGTTTCCGGATTCCGGTCCCAGCCGCCTGACGTCTGCAGGGACTCCAGCCGATCGCAGATCGGAATTAGTCGAATCATCCTTTGGATGAAGCGAGCAGGCTGGTTGTATCCGGTTGCTGAGGTGGAGACAGCAGTCTTTCCATTTCGTTTTCGACGAGGAAGTGGTGCTGGGCTCTTACGTCAGTGCAGGCTTTGAGCAGACTCAAAGAAGCTTCACCTAAGCATCGCCCAGGTGTCTCGAGGTCGTCGAAGCGCAAGCAGGCCGGGCGTCAGGCTGCCGGGTGCGTTGGCTTTGACGGAGGCTCTCGCTCGAACCGTCTCCAATCCAACACAGTTAAAGTGGCAACGAGACAGGCCAATAGACTCAATAGACCCCAGCACAAGGAGAATTCACCTGCTTGGATGCCATAGTAGCAGACCACATGAGGATGAGAACGACCTGCGTCTTACAACATCCCAAAGAGAGAGATCCGAGCATACTTCGAGGCATAGCAATCATTTCGAGAAGCAGTGTTGAAGGCAGAGCACTTGAAACAACTGTCTTGCAGGGACTTGCCGCTGAAAGACGATTTCTGGTATGCTGCAAAGGGCTCAGAGACATTTATCTGCGCTGGGGCGGTTCTTTGCTGCAAATTAGATTCATGTGCTCAGGCGGCTTACTTTCAGCAGCAACCGGACGAGGAACGGAGTGCTGTCGGTGGATTGAGAGCAGAACTCTGTTACTACCAGCGAAGAGAAGAACAAGACGGACTGGCCAGAGGCAAGCAAGCGACATTGTGTGCAACGGAGCCTGGTTGTGGGAGCCTTAACAAGTGTTTGGCCAGTTTCACATCGTTTGAGCCAGCGGAGTGTTCGCCAAGGTCGTATCCCAGCATGGCTTTCTGGCATTTTGGGCACCTGTCCAAGCGATGTGCCGAACTTCATACGAGCGTGTCAGCATGTCGTCGATCGAGCCGTGCACGTCAATCCTGCCGATGGCTGGTGATCACTTCTCCAGTGGCTTAAGTTTTTTTGGAAGCTTTGAGGCCGCCTTGGTGACGGAGGTAGGCAAGCACTTCCAGGAGTGCTGGGCTCGGCGGGGCACGAGGGTGACAAGAGCGGGCTGGCTTCCTGCACCTGTCCCCTTGCTGCGTGGAGTTCGAGGCGCGGGCCAGATGTACTCGAGGAAGCTCTGGTCTCAGCTCAGCTGGAAAGCATTAGGTGCAAAGCGGTAGCCAGTACTCAGCAGTTCCTAGTTGCAATTTACTGTTCCTTCGACCCGCGCCCTGTTACCCCACCCTGCGTTTGTAGCGGTGTTTTCGGAAGAATCTGAGCAATGGCGACAGTAGGATCGCTACCCGAGCAAGGGCAACAGTGTATCCAATTCGAGTGGTTGTGGGTGCCAGCAGCAGCAGAAGTGGCAGTAGCAATGGTCGCAGCAGCAGTGGCAGTACTAAATCGAATCATGGCATTTTGCTGCAGCAGCGGAGGCTTTGGTCGTGTTGGAGTTTCAAGCGCAGTGAGAAGATTGTCCTTTTGGGCACATGCCATGAAGCGCAGTCTGGAGCTCGAGCCAAACTGCATTCGTCGCGTTTCGTGTTGCTAGGCACAGTAGTCTAAGAGTCTAACATCAATTGGAACAATGTGAAGAATCATGCATGTAGCTCTGCTGGACACGAGCATATGCAATTAGCGATACAGAGATGTTCGACAACACTCGCGGAATGGCACCAGTGGTTGCTGAGCAGAAGGCAGGACACCTTTGAATTGGAGCACAGTTGTTTGCTGATCGTGGCACATGCCTCTCGTGCTTGTTGCCGTCATCTCTGAGCATCTGTTCTTCCCTGCGTGCCTTCTTTTGTCGTTTCGGCTCGAGCTTGCGGCTGGTGTGGCGCTGTGTGGTGGAGGCTCGGCGCGGCCTCCCTCTCCGCCAGTAGGCCGGGGGAGGGAGGAAGGGACGGCGGGGGAGGGGTTTCTGCCTCTGCCGAGCTCCGAGCGCCGCCAGGTAGGTCCGGCCATGGCCAAGAACGCCATGACGCCGGAGGAGCAGCTGGAGGACCTGCAGAGGCGCTTCCAGCTGCTGGAAGGTGACTCTTCGTCGCAGCGTTTGAGTTTGAGAGCACGAGAGAGTTTCTGTATGTTGTGTGCTCTTGATGCATTTAAATCTCAGATCTCAGGAACGCAAAGCAACATACGAGACCGCCAAGCTGAACATACAGCAAAACAAGGACGGTTGACATCACTTGTAAAGGCTTTGTCGTCGCGTCCGCTCCGCATGTTCTGCTACACTTCAGGAGATCATCGGCCAGATGAAGGATGAGAACAAAACGTTGCCTGCCTGCACGACTGCACGAGCTTGGCCAGTTTGGAGCTGGATAGGAATACGAATGTTGTGTTCAAGCGGTGGCCAGTCCCATGCAAGGCTTCGAAATCAGATAGCGACCCTGCGCGATGAGAAGCCGCAGTCTTTGGAGAAGATTCTGGAACAGACCTGCCACGAAGTTCAGCAGATGCAAAGGACAGCACCTGCTGAATCTGGAGCTTCCCAATTCTCGCAAAGTGCATGACATGCTGATGCAGCAGAGGAGGTTCGACCTCCTGAAGAACGAGAACAACAAGAGGCCCAGGGCTTGGCAAGAGCTGTGCGCAGATGTGCTCAGAGTGTGGCGCGCTAGGCGAGGGCACATAGAGCAGCTGAGCATCAAGCAGGGTGAGCTCTCCATGGGCTCCAAGATGCACTCTAGTGAGGCATCTCCGGAGATGCGACATATCCGAGTCTTGGAGAACCGGCTCGACAAGGTGATGATCAAGTACAACGAAGCTCAGAGCATTAGGAAAACCTACGAGGCCATCGTCAAGCGCTTGAAAGATGAGCGCATCGGCTTCGACAACCAGCTGGCGGCCATCGAACGAACCTTGAAGGCCAAGGAGCGCGACTATGAGGAACTTCTTCTGCTTTCTCATGACGCCTACCACGCCAAGGCCAGGGCCGGAGCTTCTGAGGAAGGCCAGAAGGCCAAGTCTAAGTGGCGACCGGTCGTTCTCTCTTTCTGCCTCGCAGGAGATGGCGCAAGCCGAGCTACATCGCTTCGAGCAGGGGGTAATGGAAGAAAGAAATCAGCGCGACAAGGAGGTCCAAGAAAAGAAGATTTTGGTTGAGCAGCGCGTCGAGCCTCTTGCCATGGTTTCGGCTGGCAGTGAACATGATTCATCGTGATTCCACATACCAGGGGTGACTCGCCGGTTGTGTCGAGACTGCAGGATGAACAAGAGACTGGAGCTTCGAGAGAAGAGTCTGAAGCAGCAGCCCGAGACAGACAAAGGACACGACCGGTCGTTGAAGGAGGCATCGGTTGCATCTGAGTTCACAGCAGGCGCGGTATTGCCAAACTTCTTGGCAAGTACCCGAGAACATGCTGAAAGTCAACGCTGTCTTCAGAGGCTACTCCGGAGATGCGGCACAAGAGGAGCTTCAAAAGATCATGGACTACAAGGCCACTGCTTGTCAGTCTCAGTATTACTGTTTCAGCTTTGGTAGTGAAACTGCAGGAAGCGGTGCAAGCAATCAAAGATGCCACAGGCTCGGGCTACAGTTTGACATTAGTGGAATGGTGTATTTTGTGTGTATGCGCAGGTCCTACAGTAGGCAGAGTTTTTCGGACAACTGAGACATCATCACGTAAATTCGCGAAGTAAGGGAGATGCTAAGTCTTGTGTCACCCCCCATGAGATGCATGAGGTGTTAGTGATGCCAATGAGATCATCCAGAAGTTCCTCACGCAGGAAGACACTCAGAAGAATTTGCAGCAACTTACCAAGGAGAATCAGGAGACCATCGACAGGCAGGTCTCTACGGCATGTGCAGTGGCGGACTGGCCAGAGCCGTTGCGCTGTTTGAAGTCCGTTCAGTGTCTTTCAGGCTCAGTGAAGACCGCAAAAAGCTTCGCCTTCAGGCGCACCGGTTGCTTCGAGTGTTGTCGTCGCCTTCCCAGACACAGTCAAGCTCTGAGAGGTGGAGGACTTGAAGTTCTCCAGCGGTGGGCAAGGAGGGCGTCGACAGGCCGCAGATGCTCAAAGGTGCGTGTGCGTTGTCGTGCTGAGCAGTGCAGAGGCCATTGACGACTTCGAGTCGCATCTGGGGGAAGCGACAGAAAAGTTCGAGCGCAACCGTGGCAAGTACGAGAGGGTGGCGAGGACGGGAACGGTGACGGACATGCATGCAGGCTATCATGCAGGTGATGAAAAGGCTGCCGGATGTTGTTTGCGACGTTCCAGATGCAGGTGTGTTAGGTTTTCATTCAATTCAGAGTGATCGAACACCTCCGCTGCAACACATGAACCACGTGCATAGGACCAGAGCGGCGCTAATTAATTAGATCGGCTTCTCACACGAACGGCAGGCTTCTGATAGACATGAAAGCTGGCATCGGGCACCTGTCGGAGAAGCTTCAAGTGGTCAAGCTGGAGGGCGAGACAACTGTAGACCCAAATGAGACTAGGCCAACAGATTTTATTGCTCCAATGTTTGCACAGGTAATACACGAAAAGTCACAGACGACGTCTAGACATTAATAAATTATGTTTTATACTGTGACACTCTATGCACTCGATGCGGGCAAGATGCATTTCTGCTAACTTTTGCTGTTGCGTTTCTGTAAAAAACCAACAACAGTAAGTGTCATCAGCGTTCTCTGGCAACAAGCATCTCGCAACGTTGTCGTTGTCGCTGTTGCTGTGGTTGTGGCTGTTGGTGTCGTCGTCGTCTTTGTTGCCTGCAGTTTCAAGTTTGCAGTTGTCCTGCTGATGAGCAGTCTGCGGCCGCCACTTCCATGTTGCAGAGCAGAAGGAATTGGACCTTCTGCAATGTGTTGCCTGAAATTTGATGTTCTTTGTGGTGTAGCGCTGCCTTAGCATTCTATTGTTTTTTCCTCAATGCTTGGGGCTACAGTAGGGATTTGGTACTGACGTGGCAATCGTTTACAGTTTGAGTCCTGGGCAGTAGCATCCGAGGACGACAAGATCGAGGTTGAGCACATGTTGGAGCAGTGCGAGCTGAAGATCTCGAAGCTTCTCAGTTTGACGGCTCCGCTGGAAGAAGTCAGCGACCGTCAGCGACGAATGGACGATGCAGCCTCAGTCAGATTTGTTAGTCAGGCTTCTTGCAAGTCTGGCCCGACTGAATTTCTGGCTCTGTTCGAGGATGAGAAATACGAGGAGAAGCTCATGCTGCGAAGCCAGTCTGAAGCCCGCATCAAGCTGAACGTCCAGGAGAAGCGAGAACAACATGAAGGGTTGCGGCGTCTGAGTGGTTAGGATCAGTGAGGCTCATGTCTGACTTTGTAGATAGAGTTTGAGCATGTTGCAGGTGGCTCTGCATGTCCGCACATGCTGATCCTATGGTCCTAGGGATAACAGAAACCTTGATGTGTGCGATAGAGCACTCTCATTCCGCCGATTCTTCAGGAGGAAGAGCATGATGATGATGACGACGATCTCGACGAAGAACTGGACGATGAAGTCTCGCATCGCAAGCAGATCAAGTACAACAGCGAGCGTGTTGAGCAGCAGCAGCAAATCAGAAACAAGCGGAAGGCCAAGGGCAAGAAAAAGGATGCATGAGACGTCCCTTGCATGTGTGAACGATGATTCAGGATCAACTGATCCTTGCATGTTGGGCGAAGGTCCATCCAACGGTAGTTTGGCTTGGGAAGAAGAGCAACCACAGACCTGGTTTCAGGATGTCCTTTGCCTGGCTAACAGACACAAGCACTCGTGGAAAACAGCGCAGTTTTAGACTCGGATGGTCCGGACAGGGTGTTCGTCTTGTCCAAATGTTGACAGGTGTCACTCTGGCTGGAAAAAATCCGAAGTTAGCCCTCTGTGCAGAGGGTTTTATGGCATGTCGTCGTAGATTTCGCACAGCCTAGTCTCAGACGAGCGATCACAATTTGTACATTATGCTACACAGGAGGTGAGACCAAGGCCACATTGGGAAACACGTTCTTTGTCTTGGAGGGAGATTGTGTTATAAGATGGCCGCGGTTTCTTTCGGCCTCCAAGGATCCTGCTAACACGTGTGGGATGCCGCTGTTTCACTGTGCTTTGTCTCACCGCCAGAAGCGGTCGCGAAAAGAAGCACTTTTGCTCTTGGTCTTTGATTACATTCCTTCCCTCGGCCTTGAGTCTTGAGTCTTGAGCGAGTGTTATATGTGAAAACGAAAAGAGGAAAAGTCTCCTGACAGCAGGCCAAGCTCAACATGTTGACGTCCTGGACAGCCGCAGAGCGCCAGAAGGGCTTTTCAAGGGTCGATGTCAGATCCGCACAGCAAGCAGCTGCCCTGATTATGCCGTCTGCTTAGCATGTGCCGAAAACCAAGATGATCTCTAAATGCCACCGTGCGGATCTGAGTGCCGGTCACAGTGTAAGCCGTGAGGTGTGAGACTCGGAGCAGAAGAACTGCGAAGGAAACAGTTGCAGTGTTCAGGTCGGTTCCGCTCAGCATTTGCGTCAAACGTTGTTTCTCAGTAGCCTGTCACGGGTCGCGACATTACCGGTGTCTGTGCGAATTTAACGGGGCAGTGGTAGAAGGATGCGTCGGCTCCGACGCATGTGAGCGGCTAGCGGGGGAACGGGAGGAGTGTCTTGGAGAAGCGTTGCACCCCTTGTACTGATCAACCCGGGAACCAGCACCTGTCTTCTGCACTGGACTATGTGCAACATTGGCAGTTGGCTCAGAGTGGTTTCAGGTAGTTTCTGTCCTGCTGAACAGTCGGTCGGACATCTCCAAAGATGGGTTGTTCCTTGTGTGTAAAGGATCGCAAGCAAGATGCTGTTTCGTCAGCCGCTTCCACGACAGGTGATGCTGTTGGCGCCTCCAAAACTAAAGTCCATGTGGGACCCCTGGAAATAGATTCATCTGGTGTGGTCGTGAAGCCAAAGTTCAATTTAGGGATTGCTGGTGGTTCACTCTATGCGCTTGCCGGCGTTCGTGATGTGCGTGATGGCTTGGCCGTCGACGGTTTGGCCATGTACATGAAGTCCTACTCTTCTTCGGGCGCTTCCTTGGTGGAGGTACTTAGTGAGATAAAGGCGCAGGAGCCCATCCCAGTTCTCGATGACCTCATTACTGCCGTTCCGCAGATTATTTCGCTTGTTCTGGAGACGGTTGGTGCGGACATTCACGGTGCCAATGTTGCCACAGTGGAGGGTGTGGTGTATGTTTATGTAGGTGCCGGCGTCACAGCTGGAATCTACCTGGGGTGGGTAGATACGCAAGGCTATGCTATGATGGGCTTAGAAGGCAGAGTCGCCACAGCTGCCGGTGCAGCACTTGCTCTTCGTGCAGGGCTGAATGAGGAGAAGCTAGCCGCAAGAGTCGTGTCCTACCTCACAAATGTGGGTTTCGACATGGTCGTGAGGTTCCGTGAGCCGTGCCAGAATGCCAAATAATGGCTCAAGATGGCCACAGACTTTCACTTGCGAGGATACATGCTGAAAATTCCTAGCCAGATGTTCGCGAGGCAAGTCTGGCAGCAGTCTGTGCACATGTTTCCAAACCATAAGATGTACGCTTGATAGCACGGCAGTGTGAGGCCCATGGCCTTAGATGTGGTGGCATGGCCAAGCTCAGGTCGTGTCAGCCATCGCGAGTTGGCCCTCTCCCCCAGCAGGCTTGACACATCTCGAAAGTGACCATTTCTCGCATGCGATGCATGGTGGTGCAGGTCTCGAAGGCGCGACTCCATTGCAGTTGCCGCTGCTTGGCGGCGTGCCCATGCCGTGGGTAATGCTTGTGATGTTGGGTGGGGGGCGGGGCGCCCTGCCGTGCATCGATTCATTGCGAGGTACTAGAGTTCTTACCCATGGTACCGATCCGGTCAACGCCGGCAGACGGGAGTTGCACCCTCAAAGACTGCTTCCACAGCAAGAAGCATGTGAGGCATTGCAGAGGTTTCATACGGAAGCTTCTGGCCGCGGTTTGTCATAGACGCCGCAGACATTGCAAGTTCTCATCGTGAGTGGTCACCTAGGCCTGGTGACAGCAGCGCCGGTCGTGCCGGTGGATTCCTCTGGAATGATCTGCAGTATGTTACCTGCTTACTGTCAACCTGGAAAGGAACCAGCCTATCAATGGTCCTCGCTGGCATGCACGGGAGCATGGTCAGCCAGGTTGGTTGCCGCACTCTAATCGCGGGTCGGACAAAGCTTGTTGTGAAACTGAGAGGTTGTCCGGGAATGCCCAGGCACACCCACATGGCTCGTGACTTGTAAACAGACATGTGTCGATCTTTCGTTCTTGTATCGTTTGCAACTTTGTACTTTACGCGCATCGAGCGCAGTGTAAGCTGCAGGCACTGCAGCAGAAAAGGGCAGGCGAAGCGCAGGCGGCAGCATGGGCATCTGTTGCGACCGAGGAGCCGAAGTCTGCTTTTCTCCAAAGATTAGAGGTTTGAGTTTGAATCTCCCTTTTCATTTCAAACGCTACAAAAACGGGAGTGATTCACAACTCGCAACCTCACAGAAATTACACATTTGCAGCGTCATTGTCAGCTTTGCAGTGGTTCTCAAGTTCAATCATTAGTCCCCGTCCCCGTGCATCGGCGGCATAGCGGATAGCGTCGTGCAGTTCGTTTAGAGTGCTTGGATAAGGAAGCTGATGGAAGTTTCGAGATGCCAGATCAGACTTTCCCGACGGAGCCCCAAACCCTAGGCCTGTTTCGGTGGCAGTTGGCACTATAGGCCTGCAAATACAGCCAATATGGGTTTTCGACACACAAAGAGTGCAACTGCAGGAGTTGTTGTCAAGCTTGTGCGCACGAGTTCACTGGCAGTACAGCAGCAGAAGAGTCGTAGGAATTGGAGTGGGGCAAAACACGGAACCTTGCTTGTCCAACCTCAAGCCCTGTAATGCTAAATGTTACATGACCGGAACAAGGAAATCCGTACCAGGGGCAGCGAAGCAATGAACCGTTGGACCCGACGTTCTGGAGTAAAGCACAAGCGGAAGGTCCGTCGAAGCCTTGCAACCGTTTGGGAGCAGCGGAATTACGGTGGGACGACAGCAAGCGCAGACATTGAGTGATTTAGTTTTGGCATCGTGTCGTCGTTTGTGTGCGGAGGCACTGAGAACAGGTTCAGGCACCGTCCCGAACATAGGAAAGCTCGTGCCGTCAGTAGCAAGGTCCGACGCGTTACAAACATATTCGAATACTCTGAAGTTGATTTAAAGCAAGACGCTGGAGTCGATGAAACAACATCGCAGACCTGGAAACAAAATGTACGTACATGGTGGTTCTGAGCGAGCATGCCCAGAAACTGCACCAACATGATCAGAATCGTCGCAAACAGTTCAGAAAATACACAACGACGGTCCAGACGCTTTTGGCCTCAAAGGTTTGTGACGGCCTCGGGAACACTATCGAGGCCGACGGATTACATAGTTTAAACAGTCGCAAACAACACAGAAGCGAGTATGATCATGACCGCGGGGGACCATGTGTCAACGTCAGAGAATGTGACTCGGAATTCTGAAACACTTTGCACCATCAGGCCAAAAGTTGTACTTTTTCAATCCGCTTTTACATGCAAGATATGCAAGCTGCAAGCCACCGTGCGTTTGGGCTAGGAAGACAGTCGATCAAGTCATGTCGTGCGAGCAACGGTTTGCAAACAGCTGCTTCGAAAGACAGGCTGTTCAAGAGGTATGGGAAAACAAGACGTGATGCGTGTGGGAATTCGAGCAGGCGGTCCAATGGCACCAAGCTTGCGGTGCTTGGCAGTGCGGAAGATATGGAGCGGTTCCGTCCCCGGCCGGGCAGAAACGACATGCACTATCGCGATGGAGAGCGGTGCGCCCGTTGGCAAGGGGCTCCAGTCGGCTCCAGGGATGGGTCTCACCAACATGGGATCTGTCGTGTCGGAATACTGGCAACATGCATTGCGTCTCCTCCTTGCAAGGCGGCAGGCCATGGCATACGACTTTCGTGTGCCGCTCGTCTTGTCGCCCATGCGTTCCGGTTGAGCACCACGTCCTGAATTTCCATCTGCATGACGCACTTCGTCGGATGACACTGCGCGGGACGCTCCAACCGGAGCCGCGGATCTGGGCTCCGCCGGATGCCGAACGTTGATCTATGGATGCATTCCGTCAACCAACCGCGAGAAACATCTTTGTCGCGACAGTTGTGCCAGGCTAGTATGAGTCGCAATGCGCCGAGATGGTGCGCAACAACGAACCCACACTGGGTTGTCGTGGGTGCTGCTGACAAACGAAGGCTGGATTTGGTGGCGCAGCTCGGGTACCGAGCATTGGTTGGATGTGTTTGTGTAGGCAGCAACGACACCCGCCTTGAGCCACCGGCTCCAGCGGGAACATTCCGTTTCCGCGGTTTTTTCTGTAGCCGGTTCTGTCCGCCTCTTCGCCCTATCCCTGGTCTTGTCACTGCACTAGCCAGAGGATTCGCCGGCAGACTCCGGTTCTGGTGTGCCGTCGCTGGTCTTGTTCCGTAGCTGACCAGGACGAACACCGTCCGGAGCTTCTGTCGCCAACACAGAGAATGCGCGCCGTTATTGCATCCGCATGCAATAGGCATGTTGGCTTTAGGAAACGGACTGTGCTTAACGAACACGGCGCCTTCTCCAGGGTCACAGCATTTGATATTTGTATATTTTCTCGAGGAGCAGCATGGCTCCTCGGCCACACATGTAACAATGTAACATAACCTGCTTGTTCCAGCCTCTACTGCACAGAGGATGGAAACAGCTTATGATTCAGTGCGACGGTGTGGCGTATGCGTGGCCGATAGTGCTGCCCTCGTATCATCCACCTTGTCAAGCGTAGGAAGCCATCCTCATGCAGACTGTGTCATGTCCTGTGTCGTTTTTGCTATTTGTCTGTGGTGGGGTAGGGGGGGGGGTTAGCAAAGAAATCGGAAAATCGCCAGAGCGGATCTCGCACAGGAGGTAAATTTTTGCAACATCTTCTTCGGAATGGACTGCATGCGGACGGCGTGCTATGGCACGTAGCGGCAGGCGGTTGCGGCACTTCGAGAACACATTCCATCGTGTGGCCCGCAGCGACACAGGCGATTTTTGGCCAAGCGTCTTCGATTGTTGCACCGGCAAGACAGTGTTTGCTGCACCAAACCTCATCGCCCAACCGGGCTAGCTGGACGGCTGGTTTCATCTCAAGCCCATCCCTGCCGATGCGTGCAGGTTTGCTTAGTTTTGAACCGATTCCACATTGGTCCGCAACAGCTCCGACCCGTTGGTCGTCGTCTTGGTGCCGGAGCCGCATGCTCTGCTAACGTTTATCCCGTTGTTTCAAGCGCCTTCTCAGTTGCAGACCGGTCGGCCAGCCTGTGTTCAGATTTGATGATACGCAATGCGGAAGCACAGCCACGCCACTGCAGCCACGCCACTGCCCCAAATGTGCAGGAAACGTACGTTGCCTCGCTGCTGTGGTTTTGCTGGGGTCCGTATGTTGTTCGCACCTCCTGCCGCCAGCACACACGGGAATGCAGCTCATGATGCTGCCGTGGTGAGGTGTTTTAGCTCTTTCTTGGTCGATGCCACATACGGCTTGCCCGGACAGGTTGCCGCTTGTTTGCAATAGGCCGTGCGCCATGAACGTTTCGGGAGGCCACAGCGAACTGCTCGCCACTCTGTCCGCATTGAACACCCCCTGCTGGCACGACCTGCGCAACGGAGATGAACCGCTTCTGCTCGTCCAGAGACTCGCCGCTCGACAACACTTGTGGCTAGCAGGCACGAGTGCCGGGTCTCACCACGCCGCGGGACGCCGAGTCCCTTCGGACTAGTGGGGCTCGGGGAAAGCGCGCCGCGAACAGCGGCAGTCACGTGCCTTGCAAGCCGCGTGCCATCTTCACGATACGCGAAGGCTGCACTAGCGGCGAGGGGCCCGGAATTTGTGCTCCCACAGACTTTTGTTGTCAGGTGATCACTACGCAGTCCCACTGCACCGAACTACGGGGCACCGTTGGGCTGCAACGGCTCAGCGAGCCGGCAAGCAGCTGGGCACAGGCGGGCGCGCGTCCTGCAAGACGTCCTGCAAAGGCAGTGCCTGCGAGTCAGGCATGCGGCTGATGGCCGGCGACCCTAGCAAGCGGCATTAAACATGTTAGACCTCCCAGCTTGCGACAGCGTGCATTGTGTTGCAAGCATATCTTCGTCCTTTTTGTGGGTATCCGCAACCACAAGTACATTGAGGGAACTGGCTGTCCCTTCCCCGCGTTCTTCAAAACTTGGCACTGGTTGCAACATGCACGACGCATAATTTGGTCGAATGCCCACATGCAGTATAGGTTTGTAGGTGACAGCACATAATCCTTCACACATTGCTTGCGCTTGAAGCCACGAGCGCATCTGCTTAGGGCCAGCCATGCCCAACCAATGCTCCTTGCGGGGTTTCGACAAGTGCGGACACCCCGATGTTTCAGATGGTGTGCTGCACGTCGAACGCAGCACACTTTGCGGCAACGATGGCTCCAGAATCAGCATGCTGACGTGTTTCGGTGGCGAAGTTGGTCGTTGCGGAGCTGCAAGAAAACAGTCGCAAATTCGAGCACGAAGGCACCTGCCGACGACGACCACCGGCAAGCAAACACCTCCGCTTGAGCACGCTGTCGCCCGTCTGCCGCGCTGGAGCGCAAGTATGCTCAAGGAGCACGGAACGTTTGGGTTGCTGACATGAACATGGACGTGCCTGTCAGCGATGCCCGCCACTATCATTCAGCCGTTCGCCCATGGTTTTACCCATGTGATCCTATGTGGCCATTCGCGCTGCTTGGCACAGCACGGCGCCGTTACGGTTACAGGCTGTGCTATGCACGGCTGCGCGCACCGGCTGGGTCAGAGGTGGTCCGGATTGCTCGCTGGTGCTGCGATGCGTGCCTACGAGTCTCCCTCCTTGAACTTCCGCCCGCCGGTGACGCTTCCACGCGGGTGAGGCGCGGGAGCTGCACGAAGTCCGTGCGACGTGCGTGGCAAGCCTCTCACTTACGACCAGCCGCTTGCCAGCGCCCATCTCGCACACCGCGCTAGAAGCTCGCCGTAGGCTCCATATAGGCTGCAGTGGACTCTGGCGAACCTGTTGCTGCTGTCGGCAAATGGCACGGCGAGAAACAAAAACATCCCCATCAGATCACATCAGTGGCTCATGAAATAGAGAGTACACGCGGCCGTTATCACCAGCAGCGGCAACACTGCCGGTTGGAACAAACGTTAGGCCCAGTATGCCGCACAATTGAGGGGCAAGCGCACATCACATGTGTGTACACTGCGAGTTTCGCCTTCTGCCTCGACATAGTGCCCGAAATCTAGGACGTGAGAGGACTGCAAGCGGCCATGACCAAACACCACACCAAACCGTCCTCGAGACTCGAGATGCTTTTCA